TCTGATTCTGCAATCGAGTTAAGCCAAAAAAGTTTCCCATTTAGATTTTTCTTTTGACAGATCACTATGACAATCAGTAATATATTTACTTATTTATGCTAGGTAGAGAGGAAAAATATCGATGCGAAACTCCAACAAGTGAAATAAAGGCTATTTTTTAATATTATTATCATTACTATCTTCACATTTATTTTACTAAAGGAACTGGCGAACGGGAATAGGTTAATTATGTATTGGATACCAGGAAGGCCAGGATTAATAAGTAAGAAATAGCTGTTAAGTTTGCTAGACACCGATAATCAATTCAGCAAATATGAGTCTTGAACCACCTGTGGAGATACTAAAATCTCTGAAACTGGACCAGGGAAATGGGACGTCAATGAGAAATATAAACAGGTAACAGATACCTTAGCTAGAGGCAATGCTACAAAGGAACATATACAGTTCGTCATGTTCTATGCGAATATGGGGTTGCCATGAAAAGGAAGGGGAAACCCATAAATCAAATCAGTAGTTTACAGTAGTCGAAAATATGTTTCAATTAGCGAAACATGATAGCTTCAAACCTGAAAACTCATTCCTGAAACATTTCAACATAAAAATATCTTTAATCACGCTGTTTAGGTAACATAAACCACTTTTATACAATGGCAACTTCTTAGTAGTTTGGTTCACGAATTTAAATTGGTGTTAAAAATAAAACTGCTGAAAATATAAGCGATTGCTCATTGGACCCCGAATGACGTGTAAAAAAATATATTTCATTGATTTTACAAAACATAATAAATTGAAATTGATATTTAGAAATTAGGATGAAAAAGAACGAATTGATTTTTTCGTTAATAACTTACAAACTATAAATACTTAGGAATTTGCAAAAATGTCAAGCCCTTCAAGTGAGAGATGTAGCAAAATCTAGCAGTTTACTTGAAGAGATATTCAAAAATGGGTGATCCCAAGCTTTTTCAAAGGTGATTTCTCTAAAGAAGAGTAACTTTTCACAAAATACATCTGAAACATGAGCAACGTAAATGAAAAAATAAGCTCATCTGAAGTTGAAATACTGTTCATAGAAGCAGTGCTGGTAAATGAAGTGGCGGAGATATGCGTGAACTTTAACAATCCACATTAGTAAAAAGGTCACTAAAATTGTTATTAGATATTGTACTATCAAATTCTTCCAGTTGTCCACCACACTTTCAAGATGGACTACAAAACAATGCATTATTTTTGAATTAATTATAATGCAAGTACTCAATTTTGGAATTGATGTTTATTTGAATACTTTCGATATATTGTTTGACACCTATGCTATAAAATAATCTGTTTTGAAATTTTCGTTATCGTATAATTGACGACAGATTGATTTATATAACTGTGCTGCTCACACTAAATTACAAACATTCAATTTCTGTAAGATTATCATCAATAGTGAAGAGAGACTGTCGAGGGGTGAGCTTTGGAGCGGTCAACGGAGTGGACCCCAATTTCTAATATTTAAAGAAATAGATCCTTGGTTGCTTTGGAGAAGTTGTTCAGGATATAAAAATGAAAAGTATGCCCTGTGATAACTTTGCAAGAACATGAGATTCCAATTTGAAATTTGTGTAGATAAGGGAAGTCGAATAATCGGAAAAGAGTCCACACTGCCACCCAACGTTGTCGCAAGTTCTTGTAGATTCTGATTTGCCTAATGTATTCTGGTGCTAGTTCCAGTAAAGCACTACGCTCTGTCTCTGCAACGAGAATATTTTGAGACATTCATTTTATTTCTCGAGAAACATACGATATCTTTTGGTACGATCGATATTCGCAGCGAGTTCCGGTACCGGTACGGTACCATCATTATTTATAGCCGCTCGTCGAGGAAAGCTCTAAGTAGATGTTTTTTTGACTTTTTTGGCGACCGGTCGACCGACATCGTTATGTCTGATTCCAGTTCCGAGTACCACCGTCGTCAAGTAGTTTCAGTACTTCATAGGCCCGTGGACGGCATTAAAAGGGAGCATCTAGCATCGTGTTCCCGAGCAGTCGTGACCTGCCGCGGGGGGCCAGCGTACCAGCGAATAACGTAGACCACAAAACGGCAACGGCGGCCACAATTTCCCACGCTGCCGAGCCTCCTTCTCCGCCCCCATGCCCGCTCTCGCACACTCATCGCTCTCTTCTCTTCTTTTCCACTCGGGTATATCTTTTACAGGGTGATTTATGGCGAACAACCGAAAAAAGTCAGGTGCATGAGTCCGGTGTGAGAGCTGGCGGTGGATAAGACATCAAAATGAGGTCTAGTGGGTGGTATTCAAGATTCCATATTGACATTGAAAGAGTTTAAAATTATATGTATATCTAATATACTTTGTTAGCAGTATTCCAGATTAAGTCGTTCCCGCCGAAAGTTATGCTTTGCTCGAATAACTTTTGGCAGAAATGACAGATCTGGACTGAGGTTAGTACCCCCCCCCCCATGCCCCCTCCCGAGTTGAGTGCCCTGAGTTGAAATCTTCTCCAAACGGTTACTGTGTGCAGAACATCCCATCTCGTCTATCCAACCCCGCTCCTCCGGAGCGGTCCTCAACTTACTGATAGGCACTTCCGCAAGATTGACATCTGACTTATTTCAGTCGAAAGTCAGCCTTTAGGTGCTTTCACTTTCTAATCTAAGAACTGAGGTTGGTGTGACCAAAATGGACCAATATACTTGGGGCAACAAATTACACTTGCGTAATCAATACCTGGCGCGATAAAACACTTTCTTTTTATATCGCATCCTTTTTTTCTATGAAGAACGAAGACAGAACAATTAACGTTTGCGTTTCATTGGGAAAGACAGTTTGGATCGATTTTTGACAATAGGTGGTTGTAAAGCCTAATTCCATTGGAAATAGGGCCATACAGGAATATATTTAACTGATTTTGGGGTGTGTAAAGATGATGACTGAATCTTGTTGCGTAATTATGGATTTCATTATGACAGGTAATTTTGTTTCTGTTTTTATGTATATAACAGGAAACTTCCAATATTATATGCAGAAAAGTGGGAGTATATTCAATTTTTAAAAAAGTGGTTTGCATGATTCTCTCTGATTTTTATTCAACATTGCACGTATGCATTTTTTTTGTACTAGGAATAGTTTTTGTGCTGAAGACGACGTGCCCCATAACAAAATTCCATATGATAGTCGGGATTGTATTTCCGCAAAATAATAATTTCTAAGAACATTTATATTAATTACTCTTTATTGTTTCACTTATGTGAGATTCCCAATCAAGTGTATCACTCATAGTTACAGCTAGAAATTTAATGGTGTGGCACTTCTCTAGAGTCGTTTCCCCTAAATGAATCTCTATATTTTCAGCCGTTCTCTGTTTTGTGTGGTAAATAATAAACTGTGTCTTGCTAACATTGATATAAAGACTATTAATGGAGAACCATAGAATGATTTTTTTCCATGAGATCATTGCAAGCTTGTTGATTGAGATCGTGAGATTTTTGTGATACTAATATGGAGAGATCATCAGCGTATAATGTTAATTTAAAATGTGAGAGGTATTTTACAATGTCTGCCGTGTAGATTGAAAATAGAGCTGGAGCAAGAACACTTCCCTGAGGAACTCCAACTTCCACAGGTGCAAGATGAGAGTGGTGAATTGTGTTTCGACCGCTATTCTCATTGCGAGATTTTTGTACATACTGATATCTATTTTTGAGAAAAGATTCGAACCAGCTAAAAGCAGATCCTCTGATACCATAAGACCAAAGCTTGTCAAGTAGTCGATCGTGTGGAACACAATCAAAGGCTTTACTTAAGTCACAATATATGCTTATAGGGCTCTTTGTTTTCTAATTCATTGAGAATGTGTATATGTATCTATGGTTGCCGTAGATGTAGATTTAGATTTTCTGAATCCATGCTGTTTTTCTGGGATAATTCTGAACCTTGCAATGAATGAGTTTAGCCTCTCTAGCATACAATATTCAAAAAGTTTGAAAAAAAACTGATGTAAGTGATATGGGTCTATAGTTATTCATTATATTTTTTATGGGGTTACTTTTGAGGAAATTTCATGAATAAAAGTGATTTTTCATTAAAAGGGGAACAGATAGACGACATCTGTGAAACATCCATTGACCATGCTGTAAGGGTTTTTATTATTTTTCCACCTATAATTTCCATTGTTATTGTGAAAATGAACATAAAATGACAAATGTAAAAAAACTTTTTGTAGTAAATTTTTATTTTTGAGTTGAGGATAATCTTGTAGGAGGTATTTCAGAATTAAATTATACAATATATTAATATCAATCTAAATAATGCTTATGAAAACATATTTTTGAACCATGTGGAATATAGCCGGATATTATTCAAATTTTAATTAAAGCCTGCATGACTCTCAAATATCGACGGTTTCATATAAGGTTATTTTGTGATTTGCATCTATTTTGAACTAATAATCGGAATTTGAATTTGATGAAATTGAGAATTTCAATACATTTTTATCAAATGTTCGTTTTGATAAGGTCGAAGTTATCATTTATTGAATCGTTAATGAAACCATTATTCTAGAATGATTTTTTCGCTTCCCATAATATTTTTCATATAAATTAATGTTTATTTTTAATTTTAAATGATAAAATGTGTTTAAAATAATCGGACAAAAAGGTAATGTCGAGTCTTAATAATCTTAGCTACTGAGACTATTACATGCATATATCCAGTCTCAGTTACAATTCTTAGTCATGAATTGCCAGTTATGAAAAATATAAATAACCTTCCTTTCCAGATCCTTTTTTAATATCATCAAATTCTTTTTATAATCTGAAATATTTGAAAATCTCGACAATAATTTCAGTTTTGAATTTGTTCTGTATACATTAAACAAACTACAGTTAAGGTCCTACAAACAAAGCGTGAGAATTTTTCTCAATGGTAATTAGTAATCGATCGCTAGGTAGAAAGTAAGAGTATTCGAGAGCTAAAATCCGGGAGTTGAATAGATACCTTGCAAATCGCTCCTTGTCCTGAATATTATCGTCCTCCATTCTGGTATACTTGCTTCCACTTGGGTCGTCTTCATCTGACCTGGAAAGATTTTATTAATTTCAGACTGAGAAATATTTCCATATTTGTTAGTAGTACACTGACATGAATATAAATAATGAAGATGAACTGTGACTGTTCATTTATTTTTGATGGGCTGAAATTTGTTCACAACGAAGGTTCACTCATCAATTCAACCCTCTTGATTTGACCAGTTTCTTAACTCCATCACGTTTGACATTCATCGGGTGAAATAGAAATTAGGAAACCGTTTTCTAATTTAAAGTTGCAAGACAAAACTTGCTCATATATTAGTTTTAAAACATTAAGACCTTTCAATATTTCTATCCAATAATGAAATTTTTCTCAGAGTTTGAAATGAGAATTGAGAAAAAATTGAGAATCCATTTCATTCACGTAATGAATGATCTAATCAGGATTGAGATTATTTAAATCAGAAGATCAAAATCAACGATTAATTTTAATCAAGTGAATTTTAATATAAAAATCATGATCTTATGAAAAGCTACTAAGACTAATTACATGNACCATGAAATAAACATAGGTACTCACAAAAGTAAGTGATTGCTTGTACGTGAGAGAAAATCTACTTCACAATCACAATGTAGGGGTGCTATTAATTATATGTCAGCAATGCTAAATTTTTCACATTCGGGAAGTTAGTCATAATAGGTGTATTATATTTACCATCGGTACTCATGTTTATAATAATGGTCACACATAATGTGGTGATAGGAAAGCTAATTAAATGAATATGTCAGTTACTCAAGCATTTCATCCACTACCGCGCGACAAAGTAAGTTCAAGCAGCCTCACACCCATGCCACACGCGTGATGAAGAAAGTTTGCAAGTACATTGGTTTTGTTTTACCTAGTAAATCTCACTTTGAATATCAAGTTCGCATTTCGCATTTTTTTTTGTGTTGTCTTCAGGTAGATATATACTTACTGATTTCAAGATTATTATTGATAGCTGTGAACATAGTTTTTTTAGGGTGAATTTTATCAAAGTTAAATTATTAGTTACAAGCAACACTATGACAGAAAAAGTAGGCATATATGCTCTTTATTAAACAGTTGCAAATTGTGAACACAAATTGAACAGTCTATGTTGGCTAGGTTTACATATTTTTTAAATTATTTTCATTATTAGTCTATACTATGTAATTACTCACAATTAGCTGTTTAAAATAATGAGAATGTAGATTTCTAAGAAACTAAACAAACACGCAATATTCTTTTGCATAATTATTGGATGAGTGTCTAATCAGACAGTAGGAATTGCATTGTACACAAATTGAACAGGATATGTTCCAAGAAATATGACTGCTGACGCCAACATTTTCGGGTGAATCAAACTATCATAATAATACATCGACTATTGAAACAATAGCGAATAGAATTATGTAAATGAATAATCCAAAGGATTTATTTCTTTTTTAAAATATTCTTTATCAATTACCTATTGTCCGAAGCGAGAACCAGAAAAATTGATGTTAACAAGAACAATAAATCGTCATATTCAAGTGACACTTCGTTGTGAGATTTTCACTGGACAGTTTACAAAACCACAACACGTGTTTCGTCATACAATGGCTTCCTCAGGCGTTTTCATACTGATTCAATTCTACTCAATATGTTATTCATGCAATAACAATTTGAATCATATGGCCTTCTGTATACATCAAGACTAATCATTTAACCTGAGTTCGTTCTGAACAAGATTATGTTCAGAACTATCAATTTCAAGTTTGAAATTGGTAGGTACCTGTCCACCTAAAAACACAGAAAAAAAGTGAAATCAACCTTCAAAATAATTCGTTTTCTCTATATTTTGGATGGTCGTTGCTTCCTATCTTCAGGCGCATATGACCAATGCTCCTTCTGTTACGTAACTGGCTGTTACATAACAAAAGCTTCGTCGGGGGACAAAGACTGTCTTGCAGCTTGCAAGCCTGTGTCCCGAATGGTGTGGAATAAAACCAACGCAACTGCAACCTTTCATCATCATATGTGTTATATCAGTGTGTGAGGCTGCTTGAATTTATGTTCTCGCACCATGTTGTATGGTCTGAAGGGCAATAATCATGTGCATAAAATGCTTAATGTATTCATTTGATAAGGATCAATATCGTGTCCGTCTAAATAGTTTTCCAATTATATGTGACCATTATTTTAAACATTAAGATGGGTATAGTAAGCTATCCTTAAAAGAAGTTCGTATGACATCGCAGAAAGAACAATATGTAGTGATTTGTTTTGTTATATCTCTAAGAAATTGGGTAGGTTAGCACCACCGCCTCGACTTCTAACAGGTAACATCGTTATATTTTAACCAATTCACACAAAACATGAATAAGTTATATACTCAAAGTTTAGTCTTGAATCACACCGTCTAGTGGTGAAAACCGCATGACAATCCAGTAGTTTTTGAGTTTATCGCGTTCAGGCAGACAGATATACAGACGTGGCAAAGGACTTTCATTTATAATATGCGGTGATTGGAATTAGCGGATGTCTCATACATTATGAAATTTTCTCCAAACACTCGACGGCTCATTTAACTTATTTCTAATATTGGCACGACCTATACACTATTGTGCATGTTTTTTTTTCATTCGATTCCGAAATTGTTTCCGATATTTTACTTTTGGCATTGTCCTGACTATAAGTAATGCAAAACAATGATTCCTTCATATTGATAACGCTAGAAGTGGTATTTTTTTTAGCAGAACTTTTTTCAACTACTGTGGTGAGATTTCAAACGTCGCGTTTTTTACCTTTCATCTATATTTGCATAAATACAAAAATTTCGAGTTATAACTATCGAAGATGGAGCCGTATTCAAAGTAGTACGTTCGAAACAATTCTAGTTATGGTTGTAATGAAAACGGATTATGTAAATCCGCGAATTATTCAGATTAAATGTATACCGCAAATGCACAAAATTACTTCCCGTAACGAGACAATGGAAGCCAAGGCGTACGTACCAGAAGAAAGGTGTGGGCGTGAGAACTAGATCAAGATGTATGGAATATAGAACTAGTTTTGTGAGTTATTAGTGCTTCGATAGCAATTCGTACATACCATACTTTCTACTCAACTATGTAGGTTACAAAATCCATAAGCTTCGGCGATTGTTGAGTCAGTATTTGCCTGTCGTTTCAGAACTAAGAAACACAATAGGCTTATGTTAAGTCACAATACCCCATGCAGATAAACTTTTCTGTACGTAACTGAAACCATAGGCGTAACGTAACTTATTAGAGGAGGACAAGGTTATAAATAAATACTTATGAATGTAATATATAATAAAACACTGAAAATCGAAAACATACTGATTGAAGCGAAGTTTTGACTCGTTGTGAAAAAAGTTCCAAAACTTAATTTTGGTGGTTCGGAGATTCTTGTTTCCATACAATAAGGTATTTAAAACATTTTTCATAGTCGATTTCTTAAAATCAAGATTTTCCTTCGATTGTCAACTGTTTTGGAAAATATATATTCCCCTTTAAACTATTGAAACATTTATTCACGAAGTGTCAACAATTCTTGATCAATTTGAATCCAATACGAAATTCGTCATTTCTGAAGTAATTTCATATAAATACTGAATATTATTTCCTTGAACAAAAGCCACATAGAAGACGTCCTATTTGTTAAAACCATGAATGCTGGAGAGTAATTCCTTCTATAACATACTGTTACACAGAAAATTCAATTACAAAATAGAATATTTAAAAAAAAATATCTTTCCTAATGAACAGCTACTAATATTTGTTATCGGCGCACTATGCAACATTTTTAAAATTAATAATTCAGAAATCGCATACTTACATAGTTATATGCAGCAGTTCAATAATAACGAAATTATTTTTACGCCACTGGAGGAGGTCATGACCTGTACATATAGTCCAAATGATATATTCTCTTATTCTATCAATGGTCCACTATCTCCTACTACCAGATGTTTGTGTATGTGTGTGTGCTTATACATCACAACATTAGCAAGAATTTTATGAGTTATTGTTAATTTGAGCACCGATATCTTTTGATTTATGGCTCTATTACTTCAAATGAAAACAGTTTCACTTTTTGTTTCTTGTAAGAACAATGACATACATTAACACAACTGAAAGTGGTGTATTATTCGTCTACTACTTTTAAGGAGACATTTTCTCAGAAATATCTGCCATCGGTTGGGGTCAAATATAAGAACAGTCATACGATAATTGGTTATCCAACTAATTTTTTCAATATTGAAATGCGTTATAATCATTTTTTTCATAGTCATAAAGATAGTTGAATATACAAAATGGAAAAAATTAATAAATACTCACCTTCACAATGGTAAAAAAAGTTTTATCTATATTTCTGTATTGATTTCGTTTATTTTAATTGTTGAATATGCTTCCTTCAATATTTTACTTTTTTAATCGCAGTAAGAACATTTTTGGATACTGAACAGATCTCAACAAAAAACTACCATGTTTTTCTACATTTTCAATTTTTCAAATTCACGTAATGTTATTTTCGAAAATGGTCATGTACGAAATGAGACCGGGAAGCAACTCTTCATAAAGGGACAGAAAAGCGATTTCTATTTTCTAACAGAGGTTAAATGAAAAAAAAATCGAAGTTATCAGAAATAATGACAAGAACAAGTTTTCATCGTGACATCAGTATCTGGAATAAATATTGATAATGTGCAAATCTCAATGATCTTTTCACTTGTCCACTGAGCTGATTAAGATCTTTAAGGTTTGAATGAGGGGTTAATTATGTCGTATCATCGGCAATATAATTACATTTATCCAGGAATAAAGTGAAAAGTATCATTGGGACAAATTATAAATGGAAGGGGGTCCAACACACTACTCTGAGGAACTCAATGAACTGAAATGTCAATTAATTTTTTCTCATACTACTTCTGTGTTAAAAATGATTTCGACTTTTATAATTTTCATCATCAATTTACTATATACAGTGTATCTATTTTCCTTACGTTTTCATGTTTCTTA